TCCAAGCCGACTCAAATCTAAATCCCCGATTTTGCCTCTCAACTCGGCTGCCTTCTATCACCAGATGCAGCGCACTATGATCAGAAGTCACCGCTGGTAGATTATGAACCGTCGCCCCCGTGTATAATTCACACCACTCCCCCGAAGCCACCGCTCTGTCCAACCTCTCTTCAACCCAACGATGTGTTCCCCGTCTGCGTTCCCATGTGTACTCGTAGCCCACCATCCCCAAATCTGATAAACCACAATCCAGAAGTGTCTCGTTAAATCCCAGGATCAAAGAGTCCGGATGCGGATTCACACCCCTTTTTTCCGCATGACTCGCAATATCGTTAAAGTCGCTGATCACGATCCATGGCAGATCGGATTGGGCCTTCAACTCCCGCAACAGGTTCCACGCGTCTTGCCTCCTCGATCGCTCCGGGAATCCATAGAAGCATGTGAGTCGCCATGCCGGTTTGCCCGGTAACGTTACCCTCATATTGATGTGATTCCCTGAGTAATCCATTAGAGATGCCATACCCGCCACTTTCCACATCAAAACCAAACCACCACCAATCCCCACACTGTCCACCGTAAAACAGCCTTCAAATCCTAACCGTACTCGTACTCTTTCTACCTGACTCGCAATAGCCTTTGTCTCCATGAGGAAGACAAACTCGGGTCGCTGTCGGGCCACATAGCCCAACAATTCGCGAACTGTCCGGGTGCCACCCAATCCCCAGCAGTTCCAGCTGAGAAGACTCATTGATCCGGGCGAGCCTGGACCACCAGACCCGCCACTTCCAAGTTTTTTGATGATTCCACCATGCGAACATCTTCGTCTTGCATACTGCTACTATTGGCAGTCTCCTCCCGTCTTCTCTTGAGATCTCCATGCACACCATCCTGTTCCTCTATGTTCACCAAAGTAGCCGGGGGTGTCCCGGCCAAAGAAGTGGAGGGCGCTGCTGTCGATGACGAGTGAGGTGATAACAACCATCGAGCCCCCACCGGCCTCACTTGGCGTCGAGGTCCTGCCCGCATCCAAGCGCCGAACGGAAAAGCATCTGGCAGAAGGTTCAGCTCGTAGACAGTTTTACAGAATTTGTCAGAGTGCCCTAAGATCCCGCAACAATAGCAGAACGTCCCCAGACGCTCATATCAGAATGTGATCCATTGGGAGGTCCCATCTCTGCGAAGCAGTTTCATGCGTCTTTTCAGCGGGGATGACACATTCAGGCGCACCCTGATTCTGAAGTAACTCCTCCACGCTCCTCCGAAATTGAGTGGATCCGCCGCGATGAACGTCCCCACATAATCCCCGATTTTTGCTACAAATTCTGGAGACGCATACATCGCCGGGATACCATGTACCTGGATCCAGAACGAGACGGAGTCCAGCGCAATTTCCTCAGGTCTGACGCTGGCTGGAACCCGATCGCAAATAAGAAGCTGGTTGTCGAAAGACCATGGGCCATTATCTATCACCCGCTGTAGATCTTTTGGGTGAGGGAATTGGAACAGAAACAGATCCTCGGTGAGTGTCACAGCATACATACCCATCACCGGCCGCCAGACGGAAGCTAGGACCTGTTGCATGTGATCGGCCTTGATCACCCGATCGGTCAAGAAACGGCCAACCAGGTTGTGGTGGATCGCATCATCCGGAATAGACGGCATCTCCGGCGCCTCCATACCCCCTATATCCTCCTCCGCTAGCGACAGAGCCGCACATTGTTGCTCAAGAGGCCCGACGTCCATTGCAAACAGAACAACGTGGATCAGATTTATGGCGAAAACAAGGTTGAACAGAATAACAAAAACGATATTCATTGTGAAAGGAAACAAACGCAAGATATAGCCCTAGAGATCTAGGGAGAATACTCTCTCAGGCCACGACCGGGAGAGAGGGCCACGATCGGAGAAACGGAACGTCGATCACGATCGGAACTCGCGAATTTTACGGAGCATTTCCTTTTTACGATATTCATTTTGAAAGGAAACAAACGCAAGATATATATATATATATATATATATATATATATATATATATATATATATATATATATATATATATATAGGTGTATAATAATAATGATAGAATTATGAAATTTTTAGAATTAAATAGCAACGGTGTAATAACTGTATAATGGTATTTTAGTTTAACAATAATGTAGTACGGACAATTTTATTCATTATATTTGAAGTGTGCAACATTTAATGAAAAATGTATACCTTTATTACCATACAAATGTAAATATAGATATAAATGTGGGTATAGCTTAGTGGTTAAAGCTCTTAGTTTATAACCAAATGAGTAAGAGTTTAAACTTCACCTTAAACATTTAATATAATAAATATATATATCTATTATTATTAAAAAAAAAAAGCAGAAAACTGATCGGTTTTTGGGTTCTTTTCGGTTCGGTTCGGATTTAACCCGAATCGAACCGAACCAATCGGTTCCCTCAAACTAAGCACTGATCGGTTCTTCGGTTTGAGGCCGAACCGAAATGCCCAGCCCTAGTATTTTCCACATCCGCATGATAGCTAAATTTAGCATACATATTATTTGAGCTATTTCAAGCATATCCATCGTATTGCATGTGATATATCTCTCTGTTTTACGTAACACTTTATTGTTAAATTATTCCGTTGTGCATCCAAGTTGAATATCTTGTTATTTACTTGTTACTTGGAGTTGAAATTATCAAAGTGTTATTTATTTTAAAAAAGTTTAAAAAGTTTATTCACCTCCCCCCCCCCCCTCTAGACTTTTTACCACCCTATCGGGACCAACACAACTCTATAGGAAGAATTGTTAGAATACAAAGTGATCATGGGCGTGAGTTTGAAAATGCAGAGTTCAGTAGTTTTTGTGATACACATGGCATATTGCATGAGTTTTTTGCTCCAAAAACTCCACAACAGAATGGGGTACCGGTTATGGAAAGGAAAAACAGAACACTACAGGAAATGGCTAGAGTTATGCTAGTTGCGAAAAATTTATCTCAACGATTTTGGGCAGAAGCTGTAACGCCCCACTTTTCTAAAATCTAAATTCCAAATACTTAACTTTAAACAAGATAAAAAGTATGATTAATTAACTTAAATCCAACCAAAACCAACAAGTCGGATATCACCGCCACGGTCACCACTCAGGGTGACCGCACAGGCTACAAAAGGGTAACTACTAGAGTGAAGCTCATCAAAAACAACATCAATACTTGGGGAACAAACCCCGGTGTCCAAGCACCAACAAACGACCAGTCTAAAGGTAACTAACATCAATTTATCAACAGTAAAAACTAATCTAGCCTCTACAACCTCAAACTACGCACTAGTCTATCTCGTGCGCTCTCAAACACTGGGCCCACCTGAAAGGGGTTATAAAAACAAGTGGAAAATAAACCCGTTAGCAACTTAATGCTAAGTATAAAGCCACTCAACCCTGTAACATACTATAGGTATAGATTTGGAAAACGTTTGACAAGCACACGTAATCTCAAGTACTTACAACACTTAAACAACAATCTCAAATCATGCTCATAAACAACTCTATATGCTTGCAACCTATTCATCACATAAACATGTTTTCTCAAGTACTCAACTTAAACATAATTCTCATGCTTTAAACATATATCTCTAATCATAGCTCATCATGCAATTCTTATGCTCAAACTGATAGGTTAAGAGATACTTAAACTTCAACAAGCAAACTCATGTTAACATGCCAACTCATAAGCAAGAACAAAAACTATACTTCTCATCGTACTCTAAATGCAAAACATGCAAGTCATGTAACAATAAATATCATGATGCTATACGTATAATTATATATACTCTCGCTCTTATGTAAAAAAGAATACTTTTTTCTGTGGAGGTTTCTGTTGAGTCACACAGACTCGCTTTTCTCTTCTTTACTTTCTTGAGTCTCTTGACTCGCTTTTCTCTTCTTTACTTTCCCGCTTTCTTTCTGTACTCGTGGGCGAGATAGGAACTTTACGAATCGTGAACGAACCTATCCGGGCTCGGCATCTAGCCAGCCTAATACTCATCTCGCCCACAGAACCACTCTCTTGGTTCATATCTCAATCTATGTGGAATCAGGTATCGTACTTGTCAGTGTGCACACCCCCTAACCAGGATTCCAAGCCCGGCGGGTAGTATCCAACCTAGTAACCCGGGAATATCGACCAAGTTACTTCATAAAATCTGTCGGTTCTCATTGACCATTTCTTTCCTTCCTCAAACTTTCTTTCTTTCTCTTTTCTTCCGAAAGGACCAAGTCCTAACGGGCCTCCAAAATACTATTTTCTCACAATAGATAACATATAGATATATCTCATGCAACTTCTTTCTCATGTAACAACTCTAACTTATGCAAGCTTATGCACATAGTTCTCAACAACTTCTCTTTCTCACATTTTGGAAATCAAGTATCATGCAATCTTCTCAATGCAAATAGATAATGATTTTCCAAAATAGATATACGTTTTTGAAATAGATCTTAGGTTTTACTTAGAGCCAAAAATGCAATTTGCTCAATGAATCTACTAACATGCTCTTTACTATGAAATAATATTCTTCAAATCTCATTCACTGTGAAACAAGGAAATTATGCACAGCTTTATACTAAAATCTGAACACTTGGCAAATCTTCTCAATAAATACTTAACAAGTATTAAGACATGGTCCTCAACTAAAAATATACTCAGATGCTAGCAAATTTACTCATTGGTGCAAGTTCACAGACATACATCAACAGAGTATTCATTATCACAATTCTAACTGTAAATCATGCTTTCAAACTCCAAATCAAATGAAACTAACTTCTACTAGTGCGTCGTAACGAGCCCGAGTGTCCGAGCCTCAAGGGCCCACGAGTCTCGGTCCGAACAAGGGGCGGAGTCAGGATTAACCAATGCGGGGGGCCAATCACGATTTAAGAGAGAATAATGAAATATAATAATATTCATTTAACATGTTCCAAAATACATCATTATATTACAAATCTACTAAAATTTAGACCGTCTCTCTTGCATGTCACGAAAATCATCTATAATTGAATCTATACTAAATTGTTTTGCAATTTGCTTTTCAATGTATACTAGCAAACAATCACTAAGAAATTCATCTTCCATCTTGTTACGAAGTGTAGTCTTGACTATATTAATGGCAGAAAAAGATCGTTCTGTAGTAGCTGTAGATACTGGAAGTGTGAGAATGAGAGTTACTACTCTGAACACAAGAGGATAGATGTTCGATTTTCTAGTTTTTACCAACCATTGGCATAAATCAGAAATACTTTCTAGTGTTCTAAAATCAAGAAGTTGTTGCACATGTTTAAAATGTTCAAGTTGCATTCTCAATTGCAAAATCTCATAATCTTCAAACTCTTGTGGGTAAAACTTCTTCACCAACTTGCAAACATCATCAATTCTGAATGATATACGCATCTCTTTTGGATCTAACGATGAACTGAGAACAGTTAACTCCATTGCTTTATCATCAAACCTATTGCTCAACTCTTGCAATTGAGAATCAATCACCGCATAAAAAATATCTACTTTGTAATGATGCCCAATTGTTAATTCATCTTGTTGAAGTCTAGCCCTTCCTCTTCTTGCAATATATTGAGCATCAAAATCTGGCACAGTTATATTGACAGTTTCACAAAAAGACTTCACACTTTCAAGTAATTCATCCCATCCACTATCTCTTAAAATTTGAATAAGCAATTTAGTAGATGACACAAGATGCATTGCATTCAATATATCTTGAGATTGAAGTTGCAAAGATTGGCAAAGCATATTAGAAATCTCCAGAACTTTTTTCATGAGATGCATAATGAATACAAATTCAAAAGAAGTGAGTACCTCATAAGCTGCATCGGCATCTCCACGGTGAGCATATATGTAGTTCCATCTTCAATAATATTAAGTAAAACTTCACATGTTGCACTAAACATTCTCATCAAACTTGATATAGATTTCAAATGCGAACTCCAGCGAGTATCACCTCGCCTTTATAAAGAACCAATTTGGTTAAGGCCCCTCCCACTTTCAAGCTCATCAATACTAAGCAAATGAGCAATATTTGAGGCATGAGCAGCTTTTAACTGGTTATTGCGCTTACATGAAGCCCCAACAACATTAATAGTGGAATTTAACTTGGTGAAAAACTGATGGACAGGGATGACTTCCTTTGATGAAGCTACTAATGTCAATTGCAATCGATGTGCAAAACAATGAACATAATAAGCATAAGGACATTCATCCAAAATTAAAGCTTTCAATCCATTCCATTCTCCACGCATGTTACTTGCACCATCATAACCTTGTCCTAGAATATTTTGAACATCAAGATTATGACGAGATAAGATAGAAAAGATACCTTCTTTCAATGTTGATGCACTAGTGTCCTTGACACGAACAACTCCAAAGAAACGCTCTTGTATAAAGCCATCTCTATCAACAAATCTCAATAGCTCTTGCCAACACTTGCAAAATTTGCTTTTGTATTGTTGGTGATGTATATGATGCATTTCGTGGAGCTTTATCAAGAACTTTTGTTACTTCATCATTAAAAGAGGCAATGAAACTCAACAGCTCTAAAAAATTTCCACGATTCATTGATGTTATTGACTCATCATGACCTCTAAAAGAACATCCTTGAAATGCAAGTCATCTCGTTGCCTCAATTGAAGTTCTTAAGCGAAGTCTATTCTCTACTATTTCTTGAGATGTGAATTTCTCAATATGTTGTGCAATGTGTGATTGTTGGTTCATGAGATCCGCACAAGCTTTCTCGGCATTTCGGTGAGGGGATGTGAGATCTTTCCCAATATGTGCTAAAAAGGAGCAATTTTTCCCATCTCTAACTTTCTTCCATGATCGAAAACCATTGATAGTAAAAGCATCCAATCCGGAAGACCCATCTTTAGTATGAAACAAATAACATGGTAGACAAAATGCTGCATCTTTACTAGGAGAATACTCTAACTACGAAGGGAATAACTTAAACCAGGATGCTTGAAAACTACGATAATGTTTTTCTCCCGATTTTGGATATTTCGAAAGCAAACATTGATATGGGTCAGCCTTGATGTAAGCTCTCCTAACTTCATCACACTTGTCAATAGGGCACTTCCATATTGGTAGTCTCAATCCCGGATCACGTTCTAATGCTTGAATATCAAACTTCTCATTGATTTCAACTCTTTGAGATTTTTCAGGACGACTTTCAAAATTCAATGTCTCAATACTTGCAGATGGATTTACTTGAGATGTTGAATCTTCAGAATAATTTCTTTTAAAGAAAAGATCAATTCTTTGTGTCTTTTTCATTACAACTCAATCTTCCAATGTCCACATTGATAACTTTTTGCAAGTCAATTAAACTAGCTAAAAAGAAAGAAAAAAAAGAATAATTAGATATAGATTAAAGTAGTAGAAACTTAAATATTTTGGTAACAAAATGACATTTTATTATATTATAATAAGCACCATTGCTATGTATTTCATTTGTAAATTAAAAAGCTAACTAGATAGTAATCCACTATTCAGTGCCCACAAAATAACACATGCACGAAAAATAAATAAAGAATTAAATAAATTAAACACTCACACTAAACAGTGATTTTAGTATTTCCAAATTCTAATGCATGAAATTATGAAAGCCATGGTCCATGTGAATTCACTGCCATATAAATCAGTCAGCACTCTCTACTCAGCTGCTTTCACTGCACCAGTGTACACTGCAAATTCCAATCAATGAATCAATTATACTTATAAATTAGTAAATCAAGTATACAATTGCTAAACAACATCCTTTTCAATGTGGCTATTTTCCTATTAATATATATACTGTACGTATTTGATACTCATCAAAAATAAAATATCATCTCTCTCTTGTTTTAGGTGTATGAGCCAGTAGATGAAGGAAAATGATTGATACAGTATGTGGCCATGGTGGACAAATACAAGTGACAAGGCATTGCATGCAGTATTTGTTTTAATTAGTAATTTGATAAAATGTGTTGTAATTTAGAGAAAGGGTTGAGGATGAAAATTATATGCAGTTAAAAGAATACTTTCTCAAATATTCAAATACTATTCAAATACTCCATAATAAATTATGAATAAAAACATAAAATCAATAAACAGGGACTACCGGAGATTTCACTTCTCCCTGTTCTCAGTGTTCTCGGCGTCTTCTCGCACCACCGGCAGGCGGCAGCTGCTGAACTTTTTTACAATGCTTACTCTTTTGGCTGAAACTTGGGAGTGATGCTGACTTTTGAAGCTTTTGGATTAGAGTTCAGACTTGGGAGTGGTGCTTAGCTTACTCTACAAGTTTCTGATGGACAACTGGACAAGTACCACTGTGAGAATGAGAGGACTGAGGGGGGCCAAAAGAATTATATAATTTATATTATAATATTAATAAAAAAATTGGGGGGCGGGGGGGGGGGGGGGCGGGCCGAAGGCCCCCCTTTTGTTAAATGTTCATCCGCCCTGAATACCCTCATACATGATAATTGTAGATAAATCGTAACCACGGAAGCAAAATTTCAACATTTCGTCAAAATAGGTCAACGTACAACACAAAATAAGAGTTTCTATATTATTAAATCCTTTCATTTATTATTATTATTATTATTATTATTATTATTATTATTATTATTATTATTATTATTATTATTATTATTATTATTATTATTATTATTATTATTATTATTATTATTATTATTATTATTAAGAAAATTTTATTGTTTTGTTAATGTCTAGTGCTTTAATTTAGTGAGACAAACACATTGAGCAAAGCACATCATAAGGGAGTGTTGTGCTGTGCTCTGGGCGACTATGTACACTCATGCACATCATCGTGTGTACCGTTGAATGTCGTTAGAATCGTGTGCACACTTCTATATTGCACTATGAACACTTATGTGTTGCACTATACACATTCTAATGTTACATTGTGCACATGTTTACATTGTGCACATGTTCACATTGAAATGCACATATACACATCATGCAACACCACCACCAACAAGGAAAACAATGATCTAAAGCCTCAATTGATTCACATACTGAATGTCGTTAGAATCGTGTACACACTTCTATATTGCACTGTGCACACTTATGCATTGCACTATACAGGGACGAACCAATCACGATTTAAGAGAGATAATGAATATATAATAATATTCATTTAACATGTTCCAAAATACATCATTATATTACAAATCTACTACAATTTAGACCGTCTCTCTTGCATGTCACTGTTGGTTTTTGGGTTTTCGGGCCCAAGGAGGTCCAACACAACCTTTGGTTGGTGGATTCACCTTTCTCAAAAAGTGATCGCAAAGATGGATAATCAAGTCTCTAGGAAGTGTGTGTGTCTATTCTCTGGGCATGGATTCGCCCCTCTTACAAGGGTGGATGGGCCTTTATATAGTAGGCTCCCCTCCATCCGAATTGAAGTACATTAAACATTGCTTTCAAGGCTAATTACACTATCAGACCGTTCGGTCGCTGTTACCGAGTCGTCCAACGGCTCTTTGGCTTCTTAACGGCCCTTTTGACCGAGTCCTCTTGAATGCAGCATTGAGTGTTCCCTCAACGGCTCTTAGACCGACTTGAATGCCTCTTACCGGCTCCTGAGCCGAGTTTTGGGCCTGGGCCGACTCCTGGATTCGGCCCAGGCCATCATCGGGCTTCTTCTTTTACTAACCCTTACCTCCTATCTTGGGCTCCTTCTCTCTTGGGCCCTTCTCTCTTGGGCCCTTCTTTTTGGGCCGGGGTCCTCACCCCATCAACTAGTCCCTCACTTTCTCATACCCGGGCCGCTAATCCGTGTTTGAGAAAGTAGTAATTGTCCATCCTCTCCTTCATCGGATCCTGTCTTTAAAGAGACCTCATAACGTCCGGATCCTCTGCTATCTTCCCGGATTCAGCGGAGCCGTTTGGATTCTCCCAGCTCCGCGTGGATCCTTTAAATAGCCTCTTGTCTTCTACATCTCTTCTCACTTGATCAACCATGGGTCGCTCGCCGTTGAAGGGAAAGCGGATCGACTTTGGGTCTCCTCGACGCCCTCTACTTTCCAAGCGGACTCGACCTGAGAGGGAAAATAAGAAGAAGGCTCCTCGCCCTTCTTCCCAGAGATCTCCCTCCGGTGCTACTTCCTCTGTTCAACAGCCGCCGACCCCGATTCACACGGAGAATGTTCCGACTTCACTCAATCCGCCGCCTCCGAGTACTGCCAGGGTGACTGCTCAGGACGGATCTTTCGTGGAGGTGGCCGTCCCCGAGCAGTTGACCTTTCGTATGACCTTCTCCATTCCACTTGATGACCTGGATGGGCCGGCCACTGGCCTGATGAATGATGCCGACTTCGCTCGATACCTGGAAATGTATCCGGATGACGAGGAGCCGGTGGTGCCGCCAATCATGCCAGCTTTCTAGGATACCTTCTGTCCGTCTCCCACTAGGCTGCCCGGGGAGGTGTTCTTTGGGAGCGACTCTTCTTCACCCGGCGAGTGATGGCCTCGGTCGAGATTGGTTTTCGTGTTGCCGATTGGGGCTGCATAGGAGCATTTTTTATTTATTTGTGATGTAATAAGCTCCTTATCTTGTGCATTCCTCTCTTATAATAAAATCACGTTTCCCTCTAGGAGGGTTTTATTTCTTAATTCTTTTTCGGCACCCATTCTACTCCCCCGGCTGATGGGTCCGAGAGTCGGCCACGTTGTTAGGCCCTTTTCAGTTTGACGCCTGCAAATATTCCCCGTATCCTGGGTGAATCTGCCCTTTTCAGTTCGTCGTGCGAATCTCACTCTTTTCGAGTGGATTTGATGGAACTACCCCCTGACATAGATCCCTGTCTCCCGTCCAATCCGGCCTGATCACGGCAGTTTACTATTAGCTCCGTAATTTCCGCCTAGATACTCGCCCCCTGAGGCTATATAAAGGCCCCTTATGCTGGTGATTCATACCACTTCTGTCCACAGACCTTTGATCATGAGCTACAGAGTCGGCGATCGTCGCTTCTCCGTTCGCAACAAGGAGCATGCTCGCCTGGAAGAGCTAAGGCGGAAAAGGCTGGCCAACGGTGGACATCTGGTGGGCGACTCAAGCTCTGATCCTATCGTGGTGTCCCCAGATATGCTGGATCTGGCCCCCGCGGAGCCGGTTGACGACAAGGTGGAACCAGTGGCGGATGATCCGGGCCCAGAGGAGGAGGAAGTGTGGGAGGTTCCTCCTCTTTTCGGCGTAGCTATGTCTTCGGGTGCTTTGGAGAGGCCCCTGTAGATGATCGACGACGGGAAGCCGGCCGTGTATCTGGATGAGGTGCCGGAGCCTGAGCCAAGTCCTCCATCCTTCCGCCCTCAATACTTCTTGGAGGGTCCTCCACCTGCTCAACCGTCGGAAGAGGGAGCCAAGCCATGATCCGTCTTTTCCTTCGTGCCTCGTATTCGTCCCAGTTCTAGGCCCCTTTTGTACTCTGTATCTGGCCGAGTTCCAGGCCTTTTTGATGTT